ATATATATCTCAATCCAGATTTCATCCAACGGTCAGAACTGAAGACATGTGTCAGCAGGTCACCAAGCCAGCTTATAAGTAAAACCGTGTTTTAGTAAAATGGGACTTTGATAAAATATAAGGTAGCAAAACCAGGGTTCGAATCTCCAACAAAATGTACTCTCTAGGCTTTATTTCATAGATCATGCTTCTTGGCTGGTAATATTATACTCTTAGCAAAGGAACTACGTACAAATCTCGTTCAAAAATCAAAAGTTTAAATTGTTAGAGATGAAACAAATTAATTTATTTATGTTTGTATCTTGGATGTGGTTAACACTTGGATCCTGGATTTATTGTATTTACACGATCAATTTAAATAAAAGGTGCCAATGCATATCAAACTCGAGATCTTTTATATATTCTAATATCATATATGATATAAAATTGTATTGTAGACAGATTAATTACCAATTCTTGAAGAAAAAAATACCTTTGATCTTTTGCTTGTCATCCACATTAGATGAAATATGTCAATGTGATTAATCCATTGGTAAAAATAACTAGTGTTGTTAAAGATAAAAAGTTATGTAATATGGTACAGTAGCTAAAGATTTCAAGTCCCGTTATTGTCTATATTTATGAAAATTGTTAACGAGTTGATCTGAAAAGATAAAATTTACTTGTACATGAGGAAGTGTATTGGAGATAAAATTTGTTCCTAAACATGGTTTTGTCGGTAAGCCCCTAAACATTCTTTTAAAATATATTATTTCAAAACTCATTTTCAACTACACATTTTTCAATATAATAATATTTTTCATCACATCAATAACTTTTCTTAACTTTTTAAATACATATTTTCAATTATATCACTATTTAAAATACATTCTTTCCTCAATAATATCCATAGAATACACCCTAAAAAATTCAAATGGATTCTTTTAGAGCACCATAATACTTACATATGTTAGTTCTGGGGTGAGCGATTGGACGTTGCATCACATACTTTGATAAGCATAGATATTCTTGCTAAGTTTACAACCTCATCGTGGGCGAAGAGTCAAACATAACTAAAAATAATATGTGATATTCTTAGCTAAAGCAGGGCAATACACTAGAATTTGACCTTTGATTTTCACCACAGATATAAGCATTCAATATCAATTATCCAAATGAAAATTTGTTAACCCTCTTTATTCTTCACGTCTCTCTCTTGGATTCTAATTTAGCTGCAAAGTTCCAACTTTAATTTGGAATATGAATCTGTCCTCTCTCGTAGTGGATAACATTTGAGGTTAGGGAATAGATTCTACCTTATTGCCACAATTTCTAAGGCATTCAAATTCTCGTTAATAATCTACTCCAAAGGGTAATATTATGCCTTATAATGCAACGAGTTATTGGTTGTTCAAAATAGAATGTAACATAGTAATAGTATCGAACAAATACTAAGCGTAGAATGTGTTTGAAAAATTGTTTTTAAGATTATAAAATGATCGATCATCGTCATCTTTGTCTATACACATTCTGTAATGCCCATGAAAATCAACCTTTATCAAACAGTTGAAAGACCCTCCGACTCTAGTCTAGTTTAGCAGCTGCCAGCAAGTGAAAAGTCTACTTTCTTTCTTCAACGAAGCATTGGAAATGATGGGCCCACTTAGCACTGGTCCAAGAAACAGCATTCTTTGCAAAATTTTAGATTACAAGTACACTGAATATATAGCAAGCATAAACCCTGCAAATAGTATCAAATTTCAATTTTCAACCAGGAGAAAGATGAAAATGACTCCATTTAATCTTCTGCATAACATATTCCTCTTTTTTACCTTGTTTTCAATAATCATCCATGCATACACAGATCTAGAAACTCTGTTGCGCCTCAAATCCGCCATTGTTGGACCTTCAGGCTCCGGCCTTCAGGACTGGGCCGCCATGCAGCCGTCGTCTCCGTCTGCTCATTGCTCGTTTTCCGGCGTTACATGCAACGAGGACTTACGCGTGATTTCGCTTAACATCGCTAATGTCCCGCTCCTGGGGACTCTCCCGCCGGAGATTGGGCTTTTGGACAAGCTTGTCAATCTTAGCCTTGTCGCCACCAACCTCACTGGCCCACTTCCGGCGGAGATGGCGAATTTGATGTCCTTAAGGTTGGTAAATCTTTCTGCAAATTTGTTCAATGGGACATTTCCAGGAGAAATTGTGCTCACCATGCATGAACTGGAAGTGTTTGATATTTATAACAATAATTTCTCCGGTGAAATTCCCGGCGAGTTTGTGAAGTTGAAGAAACTCAAAATACTTGCACTCGGAGGGAATTATTTTTCTGGCGAAATCCCGATAACTTACTCGGAGTTTGAAAGCTTGACGAATTTGGGTTTACAGGGAAACTCGTTAACAGGAAAAATTCCGGCCAGCTTAGCTAAGATTCCAAATCTCCAAGAACTTCGTCTTGGATATTATAACTTGTATGACGGTGGTATTCCACCTGAATTAAGCTCGGCGAGCTCACTCCGATTGCTTGATCTTGCAAGTTGCAATCTTTCCGGCCCAATTCCGGCGGGTCTTGGGAATCTTAAGCATTTGCACTCATTGTTTCTTCAAATAAACAAACTTACGGGGCAGATTCCGTCTGAGCTGTCGGGTTTGATCAGTTTGATGTCATTAGACCTGTCCATTAACAATCTCACCGGAGCGATACCGGAGAGTTTTGCTGAATTGAAGAATTTGACATTGATTAATTTGTTTCAGAACCAATTTCGAGGTCCCATTCCGGCATTCATTGGGGACCTACCGAATCTTGAAGTTTTTCAAATATGGATCAACAATTTCACTCTTGAATTGCCAGAAAATCTTGGCCGGAATGGGAGGCTATTGCTGCTCGATGTCACGAATAACCACCTTACCGGTACTATACCGAAGGACTTATGTAAAGGAAAAAAGTTGAAGACTTTGATATTGATGGAGAACTATTTTTACGGCCCGATTCCTGATGAATTTGGCGAATGCAAGTCATTAAATCGGATTAGGATAAAGAAGAACTACTTGAACGGAACAATTCCATCGGGTTTTTTCAGTTTGCCGGCGTTGGATATGCTTGAGGTGGATGATAATTTCTTCTCCGGGGAGCTTCCAGCAGAAATTTCAGCAAATATTCTTGGAAGTCTTACACTTTCTAATAATTGGATAACTGGAAAAATTCCTCCGGCCATTGGCAATTTGATGAATTTAGAGATCTTATCTCTAGACACGAATAGATTTTCCGGTGAAATTCCGGTTGAAATCTTTAATCTGAAGAAACTTTCCAAGTTAAACTTCAGTGGTAACAACTTGACAGGTGAAATTCCAGGTTCAATTGCTAATTGTTCCCACCTAACTTTTATTGATTTAAGTCGAAATGATTTAGACGGTGCGATTCCAAAGGAAATTTCCAGGCTGCAGAACTTGAATGCACTGAATATGTCGAGAAATAGACTGGATGGAGAAATTCCAGGCGATATCGGGTTGATGAAAAGTTTAACACTGGTAGATCTTTCTTACAACAATTTTTCAGGCAGAAAACCGACCTCCGGGCTGTTAAAAGACCTCGATGATCGTTTTTTCGCCGGAAATCCTAACCTCTGTTCTCCTCGAAGTATGTCTTGTCCCTCGGCCTCAACTCCATTGCAGAGATCTCGAGAAAGCCATTCAAGAACGTCGAAAATTGTAGTAACGCTAGTCATATTGATTCCAGTTTTATTACTGTTGGTTCTTGCTTGGATAACGATTAGAAGGAGGCGGCTCAAAAAATCAATGACTTGGAAACTTACGGCATTCCAGAAGCTCGATTTCAAAGCAGAAGACGTGTTGGAATGCTTGAAAGAAGAGAACATTATTGGCAAAGGAGGCGCTGGAATTGTCTACAGAGGATCCATGCCTAACAGCATTGACGTCGCGATAAAAAGATTACCAATCGGTCGAGGCAATGATCGTGGCTTCGCGGCTGAAATTCAGACATTAGGACGAATCAGACACCGGAACATTGTGAGACTTCTTGGGTACGTGTCGAACAAGGACACAAATTTATTGTTGTACGAATATATGTCCCATGGAAGTTTAGGGGACACGTTGCACTGTACAAAAGGGGTTAGTTTGCAATGGGAATCAAGATACAGGATTGCAATTGAGGCTGCTAAGGGATTGTGCTACTTGCACCATGATTGCTCTCCTTCGATTATTCACCGGGACGTTAAGTCGAATAACATTTTGCTCGACTCTGGCTACGAGGCTCACGTGGCTGATTTTGGGCTCGCCAAGTTTTTGAACGATGAGGGTGGCTCCGAATGCATGTCCTCCATTGCTGGCTCCTATGGCTATATTGCACCAGGTGACACTATTCTCTCTACTGACTTTAGATAACGATATTTCAAACTACAGTATAAAATATGTACCCTTGACTCTTTATTTTTGACATATAATTCGACTTTGGTCCATTTGATTTATCTTAAAGAAATGTCATTAATTAGATTTCAAATCATTTCATGGTGATAAATGATATGCTCTCAGTTCCCCCCCGCCCCCCCCCCCCCTCCCCCCCAAATAGTACATATTAATTCTTTCATTAGTTATTGATTTAAGATTAATTTTTGTTTCTCAATGTCAATTGGATATTGATTGTCTTTAACAAGACCTGTATTTTTGTTTGAACTGCAACAGAGTATGCCTACACACTGAAAATTGATCAAAAGAGTGATGTTTACAGCTTTGGGGTGGTCCTGTTAGAGCTCATCACTGGTCGAAAGCCAGTGGGTGAGTTTGGCGAAGGTGTAGACATTGTACAGTGGGTACGACTAACGATATCGGAGCTCAACCAACAGTCAGACACCTCATCAGTACTTGCAATAATTGACTCCAGGCTCACTGGATACCCACTAACTGGTGTCATATACATGTTCAAGATTGCAATGTTGTGTGTTGAGGATGAAAGTTCGTCTAGGCCAAATATGAGAGAAGTTGTTCACATGCTCACAAATCCTCCACTGTCTACACCAAACCTCCTTGGACTTTAAAGTGTCATTCTCCGAGGAAATTGATGCTAGTTTTTACTTTTTAGGCTCTTATACTGGAACACACAAACTTGTTTCAGTTGCTTTGAGCTATTGCTTCAAACACAGTATCGAAAGTAGGGCTCGTAGAACCCCAATATCTCCGGGCTTATTAGGTAAACGAGGACCGACATGTACACTTTGGGGTCATTTCTCGTCGATTTTCATAACTTATTGTGCAAACATGGAAATTTGTATATAGAAGTGTATCCTCCTTTTGGTGTAGCTTGTAGGATGTTAATAGTGTTTGTTTCTGTATACTATTTTGTAATGCAATTAACTTGGGTATGTGTTAATACAAGTTTATTTTCAAAATTTGACAGATTATAGTTGATTTGTATGCCAATTTAAATAGCTTTAACATATGATTTAAACCAACTAAAAAATTATTACATGCTGGATTTATAGTTGTCGGAAGTTTAATATAATGATTGATAGCAAAAAACCTCATATGAACGTTTATATTTGCGATATACTCCCTACATATTGGAAATCGTAGAAAACCACCATGTTTGAAACCTATTGTGCGAAAAAATGTCAAAATTAAAAATGAATAATTGCAATTTCAATACCCAAATTTTTTATTTGTTTACAAATTAAATCCAAATTTTTTATATGTATCACTAAAGTCCCAAATCTTTAAAATTTTATTTTCCACCCCACTTCAGCTTCTTCCTCGAAAATCCAATTGAGACTCCACCCAAATTACAATTGAATGAGGTAAAATGGTAAATTTAATATCCAATAAAGACTGTGTTTCTTGTACCTCATTTTTCTCTATATTTTTTGGACTATCAATATTTTTTTCATGGCATATTTTGTGTTGTTGCTGAGATTTTATCGGACTTTCTTTGTTCGCTATATGGGTTTTGTTTCTTTGACGGGATGTTAGCTCTCACACATAATTTTTTTTAATTTTTGTTATTTAATGGGGTATGTAGATCCGGGTTGATCGATTTTGGATAGAAGAACCATTATTCATCGGTCTTTTCTAGAACCCTTTCTGCATCAAAGCTTTGTAGATGGAATGATGCTTTAGTCTCTCAAATTGATTCAAACGCCCTTAAATTTGTTGATAAGAAACCTTCCTAGGTATTGAATCATTTCTAATGATATCCGTTGTTTTATTTTGTTTAATCCACTTTTCGTGACAAGTGATGATGAGATTTGTTGGGGTTTCCAATTTAATGTAGAATCAGTTGGATAAAATTCTGGGGCTTTTCTTTAAAAAGCCTAGTCAAACAAACT